TCGAATGTACCCATTGGTGTTCTTGTTCACTACAGTGCTATTTAGAAAAACTTGTGATTAAACAAGGTAATTCATATAACTCCATGTATGTAACATTTTTCAGTTAATGATATAAGCTAATATAGACTGGTTTGCGATAATGAAATCACTGCGTATTCCAGTTTCAACTATTTATTTGAACAGAGATTAATTTTAAAATGCTGAAAATGCCTGAGAAGAGATAAAGTAACCACTCGTATTATCTCTGATCACTGTCTTACTCATGTAGTTACCTTTAATTTCCTAGTCGAAATAAATTCGGCTGTCTAAGATTGTACCTAGTACGGTACAAATTTCTTCTTAGTGATACCTCATTTTATGCTAAATCTTTTAACTTATTCAGGCATGATTACGAAACGTTTACGACCTTTCGCTTTACATGTTACAAAAAAATACAATCAATGACATCGTGGTAGTTGACAATATGTATTGTGATGTCGATTCGTGAATTGCTAACATCTAACTGACGATCACTCAATATTTATCATAAGAATCAATCAAGAACTAAGAAGAGACCGGAGGTTCTGGATTCGAACCTTGTGTGTGAGATTGTGAATGTGGACTGATGAAGAGTCTTATACTAAGACAAGACAGTCGTTCAGTACTTACAGGTTTTCAATGGTAATCTATCTTAAAATTGACTCGCGGGTTTAACTATTAAAATTCTATATTGTACCAATAATATAACATTGAACAAAACTATTAATAATGATAAAACAAGTAAGCGTTAAATAATTTCTTAGTCCCAATAGGAAATTCTTCAAGAAGACTAGCATGTTTAGACATTTAACTTGGTTTAAGTAATTAAAGTTTTATTCAAAGATATATAAACAAATTTAAAATGGATATCTCATTTTAATTTAGTGTATAATAGACATGTTTTCATCTACTTTGTTTTAATGAAATCAACATCAAAAAATTATACAGAATCTTGTGAAATCAGTTTCCATTAATTATGATGACTTTTGAGTAACGCTAAAACGTCTTTGACAATGTTGACTTATATACTACGGTTAAATTAGGGTTATAAACCAGTGTAAGAAGTTTGAATTAGATTTAGGATTTTCATCATGAACTGACATCAGCTATAATGTTAAAATTCTATTTAACCAAATGGATGAATTAATTTTGTGCCAAAATTTGAAACGTGTTATTGTAAATCTGATTGGTTTGTTCATAATTTATAGTCTCTTCATAAATACTATTGAAGCCTACCTGATGGTGATGAATGTATTTATTATGTTCTAAAAACTTTAGACAAAGCTTATCGAGTATAGTGATTCTCGATAGTTTAGAAAACTGAATAACTGATGACCATATATAGAGTATAACAATTGGTTGACCAAATAGAATTCTATGTTTTAATCATGAAATAATATTGAATTAAAACTAATCAATAAACTACTAAGCTTCATTGTTATCTTCATTCATAACACTTTTGTGGTGTGCGCTACTTATGTAGACATAAGTAGTATATGATGTTAGTCGTGAACAGAATGTCTGGCAGCAGAAAGACAAGAAGATCAAACAGTAAAGAATGAAAATAGAATGAAATTTGTATGAAAATGCAAGAACAATGAAGTCTGAGTGATTTTGAGACAATTGATGGACACTTTGGTTGTTAGATTTCGTTAACAAGTTCTGTAATTTCTTGCCAAATTCATTCGATTGTTCCCCATCCATGTTCGTGTTCACTACAATTTAACAATTTAGTTATTGATTCCTACTCTTGTTTCTATATCAACTGAAGTTATTTGATTGTTAAAGGCTTATTTTGAAATGAACAGTAATGTTTATAAGTGAGTAGATTATGTTGTGTGAATTGTTTACAACATTAAATTACTCAAAAGAGTATAAATTCTTTAAATCATCAATTGTGAATAAAAGTGTTTAGCTTGTTTCCAATTGAGTAACAAGTAAATTGAATGTATAAATTTCGAAATTCCCTTCTCATTGAAATTATGATTCTGTGACGACGGACCAAGGGTGAACTCGAGGAAGCTGTAAGAGGCTCGGAAGGAGCCGAAGATATTATATCCAATCAGCTTTCGGAAGAATATTCTAGAATTCCTACATGTAGCTTCCCGATTGGACAAGGCTAATAACCCTCTGCATGCAGATTGGATGACTGTAATGATGATTTCGTTCTTACTAAAAACTATAAATACCTGACATTTTTGTACTATAATTGACACTGTTTGGAATAATATTCCTTTTATTATTCTTCTGTCTTTCTCCTTGCGACATGGAAGGGTTTTGACATTCTAGTGCTCAGTTATACGCGGTATATCAAGAAAACAACCTTCTAGACATAACAGATTCAATCTATGTTAAATAATTATTAAAAGCTAAGAATTATCAAACTACTGTATGATCCTAATATTAGAAGTCTTTAATGGTATTCATCTATATACCTCCAACCGGGAATAGTACTTAAGATCTTTGATTTCATGGGTGAATCATTATTTTATTTGCTTGAAATGTTTTTATTTTGCTTTTGTAAATTATTAATAAGACTAATACAATTGGAGGATCATTCTTTATTTATTCAACTACATCAAGGAGCCTTATATGTGCAGTTTGGTTTAAAAAACAAATAATGAAATCTATAAATCTAATTTAATCTAATCTAAATGAAAGTTAACCATAAAACTGTAAATAGTATTTTCAATAAATTTTCAAGACCTACATGATATTATATACTGTACAATAAGAGATTCACACCAAATATAAATGATGATATTTATTTATTTATTTGTCTATTCATTAGTGTTTATGTTTTTTGTTTTACTTTTCAACTTGTACGTTAATTTACATCATGTGAGGTAGAAGATATTGATAACAATAATGAAAATGAAAATAATAATAATAAAAATAAGAAGAAGAATACGAAGAAAAAATTACAAAATTCATTCACTATTTAACACAGCTTGTAAATGCTTTACTACTTATTACTAATTTACACAACTACCAACTTCCTCCCCCTCTTCCCCCCCATCATCATCATCACCATCCTCCTCCTCCTCCTCCCTCGTACATCTTTTACATATAAATGTATTATATTACAAATATTTAATTAGTTTTTTTGTATATTTCACTACGTTGGAGGTCTCACACGATTTCTTGGTGGTCAATTTTAAATGATACCTATCTAAGCCATTTATATTTTGGTCAATTAACTTATTTCACATTCGGTTGACATTTTGAAGATAGATTTACTACAAATGTTTGTATATATATATATATATATATATATATATATATTTACCTAGTTCGTGTGTGATGGTTACCAACTAACTAGATTAGTAGACAACATTTTAAACAAGGAAAAATAGTTTAAAATTACTTTTCGCCCAAAAATACGAAGAAGGTATCGTTTTAATGATAAAAAGATTGGATCCAAGCGATTAGATCACGATTCAAGGCCCTTTATTTCGTATACTTTAACTCGATTAAGTAAATACAAATCATTTGTCTTCACATTAATTAGGATATATTTTTCATGAATCTTTTTTATTTGAAGAAAATGACTGTTTGAATGGTGGCTATCAGTGGAATTCAGGATGTGCATTTCGTCCTATTTAGGACTAGTCAGTTGAATGTACCTGCATCTAAGAGTTAATCTTCACTCCAGAACTCGAGCTTATTACTGTTCTCTTGAAACTCTATTACATTACCCATTTAATTATTGAGTCCAGATAGACACTAGCTTACTCAGTGGGCTTGAGTGAACACCAATTATGAGATGCAGCTACATCCAACTGACGAGTCCCAAATAGGACGAATCATGCGTCCTGCATTACTTTGCGCAATTCGCACAGGATGCATATATGCCAATAACAGACTGATTAATTGAAGTCCTGAACATCAATGGTCAGATTCAAACAATCAATATAAAAATAAATTAATCCATGAATAGTTGTTAACTCCTTTGATAACAGAAATAAACATCACTAGTAAGAATGTGCATCAGTACGGGATCGTAGAGATTATTAACTTTTTGATTGAGATCATGAACCAACTGATGTTAGACCACCATTGAAAGCCTGAAAACACTGGACGGCCATTTCTACCTATTGTGGGACTCCTCAGCAGTGTTCATCCATGATCCCGCTCGCGGGATTCTTGTTTAATCCAACAAATGCGTTACTTAAAGTTTTAAATCCTGCGAACATATATTACAAAGTATTATTATTAATTAAATGGCATACAAAGATAAGGTTAGATTTATTAAGAAATTGTTACATGTTATTATATTCACAAAATTTAAAGTCATTCTATTTTGAAATGTTATGCTAGGTTCAAATGATAGGCCGATAATAAAATGGACTACTTTTACTTATCTGTTATAAACGTTTAAAAAATGATTTCATACCATACTTCTTGATCAAAGATGCGAAATATTTCACAACAAAGAAGTCAGAAAATGAAAAATTTACACTGAATAGCCATTGAGATTATTACTTTCAATAAACATGATACAAACTACTCAAGATAATCTAACCAGATATAAAAAGAAACGGAAGTTTGTAGACCAGTTATTTACATAGCTTATTTGACAAACTGACATCATCAGCATAATGACTAACGCACTGGTATTTGAAGTGAAACGTATTGGGTTTGAATCTCGAATTAAACACAAATTCTGGGATACACGTGTATCCAGCTAACAAACCCCATATAGAATGAAACTCATGTTTTACATTTCACTTTTAGCCACTTAGAATATGTAATTTGTTAAAATAAATTATTCTGAGGTAATCAATGTTTGATGTAGGATGTTCTCATGGATTTGAATTTCTATCATCGGTATAATGGAAAGTAGAAGTTATTCTTCATATTCATCATTAGACCCGCAATTGTTTATATAACTGCAAGGAGTTCTGTAAGATCATCGACATCATTAATTATATTTTAATGAATTATATACTGAAAATTTATCATTTAACTTGGTATTATAGATGAAGTCAAACCAGCTCCAGACTTGTTATCTCAAGAAGAAATTCATTGGTATGAAAGAAATCTATTCAATTATGATAATAAAAAACGTTTTTCAAGACAAACTAAAAGAAAATATAAAAATTATCATAAGAAGTTACCTGGTTTAAAAAGTCAATGGCTTCGAAATAAAAGAAATTGGATCAAATCTCCTAAAAGTTTTGCATGGCTGACAAGGAAACAGAATAAAAATTATTCTTTATTGAGGTCAAAACGCTCGGTTCATGAAAATGAAATCACTGCAAATGAAAAATTTAAAGTATCTAGTAACACAGTTGTAACCAATCAGAATCATGGAAATAAATCTGCGTTAAATCATCATTCTACAAATAATGTTGTTGCTGTAATTACTGTGCACAAAATTGCTATTCGTCCATCTGTATTAATTTTAAAACAAGGAAATGTTCAAGCACGCATACAGTATGTTATGCAATTACATAAAGAATTAACTGAGCAATATCGGCTTATTTTAGAAGTACGTATAAATCCAGAATTTCCTCCGTTATACATAGGGTAAGTAATTTATGTGTATTCACAACTAAAGAGTATATTTTTGTAGGAAATGGTCTTTATCACTGATCGACATAATCTAGGTAATTAATGAAGGAAAAACTCTGGAGAACTATGTTATTCTACTTCGGAACACTTGAATGTTGTACACTGGCAAATCTTCCAAAGATTGTACTCAATACCTAGTTTGATGACAAGCGCGCTCCATCTAAATCAGTAGGTCAGAATAGAATGATTCATGTTTCTGATTGCTATCAATTGATGTTAAAGCACAAAGGTGACTAACCAGGTCATGCTCTCATTCTAAGGACCAAGAGTACCAGGTTCGACTTCTTGTAGGTTCGCTGATGTCTTTTACTATGAATTCCAACAACGGGAAAACAGCTTAACAGTGACCGCTACTTTCAAGTACCACCTCAGTTGATTTCATAAACTACTGTTAGTGTAAACTAATTTCTAGAAATCTTTCAGAATGGTACAGTTTTCGCGCTAAAAAATCTAAGATCTTCGAAATACTGAACATTAAACTTTTAAATTTGTACTTGAATACTTAAAAGATACATTTTTTATTAGTATTATCAATATCGAATTCACCTGGTACTTTTTACTTGAATCTGACGAGTCCTAAATAGGACGAAACGCGTGTCCTGGATTCTACTGCTAGCCACTACCCATCTTTGCTTATTATCAACACTGCCTAAGTGATGGGTTGCATTTCGCAATTAATACAACAGCGTAACAACAATTCAAACTTAAGTACAAAGCTCGTAAATATATCTAGTTTTAATGGTTGAATTAATAGGTTCGAGTCACTTGTGCGGAATCGTGGTTGCTCAGTGCTGAGGAGTCCCAAACTAGAACAAAACAGTGCTTTTAGTTCTTCAGTGGTGGTCTAGCTTAAATCGGCTCATTAATTCAACCATCAAAGTCATTAAAATCTCCACAAACCCCCATTCTGATAAAGGCTAGTTTCAAACATTATACTCATCACTTTAGTCTCTATTTAAGCTTGTGTATCAACTTGATTTCTTTAAAGATTATTTTATTTTACACTTACATTTTACTATATGTATATCAGTTGATGTTTTCCCTCTATTTGTTCTTTTTAAAAGAGTTATCCAGAATGTATGTGATTACTGGCCAGCAAATGTTCCACAATCAAAATGTTCATTGAAAAGACCTAGATTTTATCAGAAAAATACAATGTGCTTTTGTAATATGCCACCGGGTATTTATAGACAACGTGTGAAATTGAATCTTAACAATATTCTAGATGAACTTGAATTACCGCGATTTTTAGTTAATTTCTTATTTTCTGATAAGGTAAGTGAGTATATTTTGGGTATTTTTACTGATTCTTTCGTTGATGCTGTACACTCTTAGCTAGATGGTTTATTTACTAAGCATTTTATTTTCGTTATGGACAACATTAAAGGTGCTTAGTTCATGTTTGTTGTATCTAGAGCTTATATCTTATATGACGCGTATAACTTGAGAACTTAAACACTAGAACCCTTCCAAGTCATAATGAGAAGACAGAAGACTAGTGAAAGGAATGTTATTCCAGACAGTGTCAAATTATAATACAAAACTGTCAGGTATTTATAGTTTTTAGCAAAAACGTAATCATCATTATAGCTATCCCATCCGCACATAGGGGGTTATTAGCATTGTTCAATCGGGAAGCTACATGTAGGAATTCTAGAATATTCTTCCAAAAGATGATTGAATGGAATAATGTTAAAATTAGCTTTAAGTTATACCATAAGTTTTATGTCAGTTCATTCCAAGGGCTTCGTTTCTCACTGGTAGTTTTTGTAGATTTTATTACCTTCGATTCGTTTTACATTCATTTTATATATCTTTTTGATTTTCCTTTTGACCTTATGATTGTTTGAATTCTTACACATGAGTTAATAGACTGGATCTATCTGGATGTATTTATTGATTGCAGTTGATTTGAATGTTGTGCTCCTAGATATTTTCTGGCCTTCATAGTTTTTCCAATTCAGAATTTCGAGTTTTCTTTAGTCGACTGTAGCAGGAATACAAGAAAAATTGAAGACAACAAAGTTTACAAAGACTTTCAGTCATAAGCAAGTCTGTCAGAAAAGAATGATGTTCACTTGTGAAATAACTAATTACTTACTTTAGCAGGCAACAGGCTTTGAACATATTATCCAGAAGTTAGGAGCTCCTCAAAAGATTTGTTTAGCTTAGAGTACCCAACACCATAGAAATTCCGGCAGTCTGTTATGAATTGTAAACCTTCAAAAACGAATAATCTCAGTAGACGTATCTCTAGTTTTATTAGAAAGCTAGTTGAATGACCTGTTATGATAGTCACGTAATCGTATAATATTATATGTTTAATGGTTATACTTTCCATTAGGTTTTTAATTGAAACTTCTGCTGTCCCAGAGTCAGATCACTTCCGAGGAGATTGAGTCAAAATACTTAGTAAAACTTATAAGTTACATCGGAGATGAAACACATATCTCAACGACTATTTGAATAACCTAGAACCGAATAGAGCCATCGTTAAAGATAAAAATTGATTCTTATTACTGTTTGTCGGATAACATCCTTTAACTAACCATCTTAGAATTAAAATTAAAAAAAATTATCACTTGATTCAATCAACTTCGACCACTAATAAGTCACTGTAATAACATAATACAGTGAAAAATAACTATTAAGTTAAGTGATAACAGACCTCCTGTCACTCACTTTCTTTGAGAAATAATACTTACCATCAGTTCACGAATTGCGAGTTATGAAGGCTCACGTAGAAAATGTAACAGTACTTGCATATATTCACATCTTTATTGTTGAACCAGATAACCGTTCAAATATAAGTTATTATTAGTTGGTCCCTGAGCAGTAAACAATGTCATGTTTGTCTAGTCCCTGAGTACTAACCGAAACCAATCGAAGTTCTAGTGACACAAGAAATCAATTGCTATTTAGATAGCTCAGTGGTGACTTTCAAACTGTAGAACTGGATGACATGGATTTGGATCCTATGAAGAACATAAACCTCCAAGATTATGGGTACGTTTCGGTAGTAAGTTCTTAGGCCTATAGTTTCCTAATGACTGTCTTCAACCACTTAACATCTCCATAGTATGAAAGTGTAGTTTATCGGAATTTTAGATCTAAAATTCATCCGCTATACATCATTTCTAATTAAAAATTAATGATCAGAAAATGATTCAGTTACATGTGTAACTATATCAAATGTAAAAGAATGGTAAATAAAATATACTTCCAAGATGGAACTCTCATCACATTTCTAATAGCATTAGAGATAGACTAAATCCACTTGATATTGCTTATTTGAATCGTTCTATTGTTATTTAAAACTGCAATTGATCAGTCTCTTATTGGCATATGTGCATCCTGTGCGGACTGCCTTGATATCGCGTCTTGGATTCCACTGCTAGCCACTATATATCTTTGCTTAGATATAGACTATTTCACCGAAATATGAAAGATTGTTTCAAAATTAGTAAATATTACGCTAAAGTGTATAAAATCTTAGAAGTTAGATACAACAAAATATGAAGATGTTTAACATACTGTATACATTTTGATATGAATAGAGAAATAAAGAAGTAACGACAAACAACGGGAACTATTTTTCTGGATATTATCTACCTTCATTCAAAGCCTATAAAGTGCCAACATTTAATTATGTGCCTTGTCTATTCAATGAATTCTAGGCTTTTGTTTAATGTTCAAATTACTGTTCTATTCATCTCAATTTCAAAATTACCGTAGCACAGGGAAATAAAGATTGAATTGTATTGTTCAGTTCAGAGAATGTCATAATAAGAATTCGGAAAGAATATTTTGGATGAACATCATATCTTTACCGTAGGTGGTCACTGAGTAATAACCAATTCCTTAAGTGAATAGTTCTAGTGAAAGTATTTCTGATGTTACATGGTTGATGGGGGTTCGTATAAAGTCGTGGATATAAGTCTCATATATGTTGATTCTCTTTAACGAGACAGATTCGATATCTTGAAGGACACTGATACTCAGGACACTTGTAGATCCAAACTTATATCGCGTATTATAACAATAAGATATATTACCACTGAGATGTTTGGACCAGAATTCTCTAATTGGTATTTTTATCAGAAGTTCTTTGATCATTATGGTAAAATGTTTTGTCATTAATTATATGTTTGGCGATAGATAGGTCGGCTTGGAGAGTTTTTTAATGAAAATCTTTTTACTTATGTCCTTTCTGTTATAATGTTTTTATCAAACATGCCATTTATTGGGTTGGAAAATGAAGATCTTCAAGTTGAAATCATGACTAAATTTAAGTGAGACCACCACTGAAACCTGAAAACACAAGATGGCTGTTTCATCCTAGTATGAGGCTCCTCAGTAATGCGTATCCACAATCTCGAACGAGGGACTCGAAGATCTGTTTATACTAGTTGCCTAACCTAAGAAAAAGCCTATCCTAACAAATGAATTTTTCAATATCTGTAGTAGTATTTTGTACTTTAAAACAAAGGTTTTTACTTTATAATTTAATCATCATCATTCTCATCATCATCAACATATGTTTCAATCATCTAACCAACTTGTTTTTTTTCTTGTTATTGTGAATTTTCCCTCACAGAAACTTGATGTTCATATTACAATCAAACTAGAAATGGAAAATAAAGATCTTGTAGGTTGTATGAAAGTGAAATTACCATTACAATTCATATCTGCATAGAAAAAAATCAAATGCCTCATACTAATTTCTTCCTTTCTTCTTTTTCTTTATTCTTCTTTTTTTGCATTATTTTTTCATAAATGTAATATTCAATTGTACAGAATGAGAAAACTCATGTTCACTTCATAAACTCATTTTCAATTTATTATTCATTTGTTTGTTTGCTTGTTTGTTTGTTTTATTATCAAGTAATTTCTCAGGTTTGTTTCTTCTTTTTTTTCTCTTTTCTTTTTTTTGAAAAAAAAACAAAAAAAACTTACATGGCAACATGATATATATTGCACGTTATCAATGAACACGTTATTTAAGGTTCATTTGTTCATGTTAAATTTTTTTCTACAAAAAAAAGAACAAGAAAAAGAAAAGAGAGATATTGTAACATAGAGATATGTTACTATTTCATATAATAAATTCATTAATTTATTCTCAAAGATATGTAAAATATTTTTTATAAACTAACTTTTGTTTCAAATAAAGAGATATTCACAGCAACAACAACAATAACAACAACAACAAAAGAAAATTTTTTTTTATTTTTAATTTTTAATACAACAGGCTTTAGTATCATATCATGTTTCTTCAGTTAAATGATTTAATGACATATGTTTTCTTTTTTTATTTATTCTGCTGGATAATACCATTAACGATTACTTTATGTAGAAATGAGTGGTTTAATTGACTTATAAGCTTTAGATTAGACTGTTCTTATTGAACTATTTCTATGAATGATGATATTGTTAGATTTATTGATTGTTTAGTTAACCTTTTCCTGTAATAGTTCGGTTGATAAGATCTCTATCAATGAATCTATTGATGTTAGACTAGAATGTCAGGAAATTCTCTAACATTCTAACGTTTTGTAAAAGAAAATCAAATTTTCACTAGTAACCAATTGCCTGCACTGATTTTAGAGATACCGTTTTACCATAAGTTTGTGTAATTATATGTGTAGACTTAAGGACAGTTTCATTTGTCAGACAGAAATTTAAGCATCCTAACAGCGAAATCCAGGACATGTGTTTCATCGTACATGGGACTCTTCAAATGATCGTACCTCTATCCTAGAGCTGACGTTCGCATTGGGACTCGAATCCAGTATTGTACGCACAAACAACTAATATAAATGAATCTTGTTTTATGTCAAAGAAGTTTGAAGAGATATTTTTCATCTTTGAAAATAACATTTCCTTTATGGGCTAACATCGATTGGGAAGACTTTAAAGACTAGCAAGGAGTTATAAACTACGATAATACAGACTAAGCTTAAGATAAACAGATCTCGAAGTGAATGGGTTGAAATCTCATTATGGCTTTTTCTATTTAATGAACAGTTTAATCCTCATGTAAATTAAACTAAACACATGATGGTCACCTTAAAATAAGTGATTTTTACAATGGTCATTAAATTATCCAATTCTTTCTCTCTCCCTGATAGATCTTAATTTTGATAGTTTCAGTACGAACATGGTAGATGAATGTAAATCTTTTATGTAAATTTTTTGAGTTGAAATCTCTCTTCAAACATCTTTTTAAGTATACAATTCATATCTATGAGAAATATTTAAAATTAAAGACTATCACTCCTAGTTATTAGTGAAGTCAAAATGTTAGAGTTTTTGTGAACTCTACGAAGTCCTTGTTAATTTGCGAAGGTAGTAGGATGGTTCTTTTTATATAGACAGGTAAACATGACCAAAAACCATTTAGACTTAACCATTTTAGGAAATTCCATTGAAAATTTAGTAATAGTCAGCAAAATATGATGAAATTTAAATGATATACCAGTTACAATGAACTGTAAGTAATGTAAAGCATAATTCAGAGATTTAAAACCAGATGTCTAGCAGTTGGTTGTGTGTTGTACTTAGTCTGTCTCTGACATATATGTATTTGAATAGTTGGACGAATGAATCGCAACTAGATATTCTGTGAAACCTGAGAAAAACTTAACTTATCTTTTTGATATCCTTGATTATTAGGCAATCTACTGGTCATCTTTATATTTTCAGATGCTAATGGTCGAAGGCAAGTGACTGATAGTAATAACAAGAAACGAGTTTTTGTTGTCAGTAAACGTCCTCTGTATTTCAAACTTATTTTAAGATATCAGTATAGGGTTGTGGAGATAATTAAGTTTTTGATTGAGATCATGAACCCCCCAAACTTAATAATCTCCACAAACCCATACTGATAATTACCGTGCGCTCACTAGTAACTAGCTTCGTGAGGGAATTCTCAAAGTTCTAATGAGAAGCCGTGACCAGTGGAGCTAATCCGTATCGGGTAAAGCCAAGTATCTACCTCAGTACAATGGAAGATAGTCGCATAATTTCGTGGATTGGTTGAAGTTAGACATTAACACCGTTAGATGCCGGCTCAGTGGTTTAGAGATTAAGTGTTCACGTGCGCGTAACCAAAGGCCCTTGGTTCGAATCCTGCAAACGTGATCGTGGATGCACACTTCTGAGGAGTCAAACATTAGGACGAAACGGTCGTCCAGTGTTTCCAGGTTTTCAACGGTGGTCTAACATCAATTGGTTCATGATCTCAATCGAAAACTCATTTAAAGATACTTGCCTGCTTACCTTAAGAACTCTTCTCGAGTCTTTCTAGTCATTAACTTGTGAAACTACAGATGTATATCAGTCCTATTGGAATATATTTATTAATCTGATTAAAATATCATTCCCATACCTTTACAATTGTATTGATTCTGTATACACTTAAATGCCACAAATTTAGGCCAGTTTATGCTGAACTCTTTCAATGGTTTTATAAAGATCTGTAACTTAAAAACCCATAAAAAAGTAGTGATTGTGATTTTATCATTTATTCCGATTTAAATTCTCCTCTATCTCTTTTAAAACATAAATCTTGCTCTTAGAATTCACGTCTCTTAAATAATCCATGAAACACTTTCAGTAATGATTCATGGATTTCATTCATACTTCGTAGGATCTCTTGTGTGTTCTAGATTTCTCTGTAGTTGATATAAAGTTTCTGTCCTCACCATTAGCAGATAGTCTGTGAAATACTCTGAATTCCGAGAGAGCTGATTGATAGATTATTATAGCCTTTAACCAATGGGAAGTGAAAGTTTTCAGAAAATATAAAAATTATTTGCAACACTGAATTCAATAACATTTAAATACAAATGAAAGTAAAGATTAATTGATGTTTCATGATTTCCGAATCTAAAACGTAATTTGATGAGGATCGATCAAGCAATCTGTTTGAAGGGTTGAATCAAGAAGATTGTTATTCAAAGCATAATATTATATCAGATGGGTTTTTGTGGATATTATAGTAATTTCAATGGTTAAGATCATGAGTCAGTTGAAGCTAGACCACCATGGAAAACATGGACTCCCTGAACTACCGTATCGTCCTGTTGTGGGAGTCCTCAGCAGTGCGCATCCACGATTACGCTTCGCGAGATTCGAACCAAAGATCTATCGATCTCGCGCGCGAGCGCTTCAAATGACTCATGAATTCAACTCATTAAAAAAATTACTATAATATCCACATAACCTCTAACTGATTATTGTTGTGTTGAATATCAGAAATTCACTTTGAACAGTCATTTTATTTATAAATTTTTAATTTACACTTCCTAAATACACTTAGCTGATAATTACCGACTATAATAAAACCTAAGGGAAGTGTTTGCTGTTATTCTTATCCCCTAAAATCAACTAATTAAATATCAGACTTTGAAGTGAACTGATATGATTTTAACAACCAGTTGTTCTGAATCAATTTAACTGACTAAAAATATGTCGGCTATTCCGAGTACTTTAAGTTACCACGAAACGTAGGAATATTGAAAGACATAATCAGACCTGTTACTAACTAATTCACTCATGACCCATATATTTATGCTTTGTATTGGCTATTCTGATATTAGGAAGTATGAACATATAATAATTGATCATGTAAGTATTTGTTCACTCAAGTACTTAAAGTTTTGTAAATATTATCTGAGCTCAGAGAACAAAGCTCCATCAAAATCATACACCTGAGCTACAAATCTTCTCCACCATTCTAAGGGGTATTCATGTTATTCATTTATCTACTCTCAATCATGTGAGATGACATGATGACACTGCGTGACCCTAGTACCAACTGAATTATCGTTTCACACAAGTAAAACGTTTGTTATCATCTAATTATTTTCATGTGCATACGATTGTACAGTTAATGTTTGTGAAACTGTCCTTGAAAGAATTGCATCCATGCCAAATTTTTCCTCTCAGTGTATAAAGGTGCTTGTTTGATTCATTATGATTTGTCATGAAAAGATATTGTCCAGTTATATTTCGAAAAAACTTGTTTGGATTGCTTCAGTTTATTCTAAGTATTGAACATATCGAAAAGATTCGTTTTGAGTAGGTAGTACAATCAAAAAGAAGGACTTTAATGAAACTTTGAACTCATTGCTTAAAAAAATGTTTATAGCCATCATCATTTGTCACTATCTGCTGTACTTATAACAACGTTTCGGTCTGGACTCATGAAGTTCAAAACTTCAATTAACCTAGTGTCCCATGTTTCACTATTCAAATCAAGCCTTTCAACCTCCAATAACATCACTGAACTTGTAATTCCAGTTACAAGATCCTTGCAAGTAAAAGTGGAAAAAGGTATTTTAAATTAGGGTCTGCTCAGCGTAAAGAATGATAGTTATACAATCGATCAGCATATTTTCTGATCAAAATTACTTACAAAACCAGACTGCAGCAACATAATAATAGTGACTAAATAAAATGGAGATATTTGCATTCCGTTTATGAATATGATGTCGAAGACTTTAGAAAAAAGTACTTTTAACCTCTTTTGGGTTAAAAGTGGAGTATTTTTGTATAGTTAGCCGAAATATCTTTTACTAAAATGATTAGCTTTCCATTATTGAAATATTTTTGAATGAATGAACAATGTGAGTGGCTATCAACTAATTTTATTTAATATGATAAACTACTTGTAGAACATTTTGATAGTATATTGAAAAATTATAAATTTTCAT